ACAGGTTAAAATAATGGGTTAGCGTTTGAAAAAATGTTATCTGGCACAATACACGCAATGCATAACGCTGAGAATAGCCATAATTTTACCCAATAGCGATCACTCTTATCAGCTGAGGTTACTCTGGCTGTGAAGCCAAACCACCATCTCCTGGAAAAATTTGTGGACAGAAATGTGGTACGATGGCTTTTTTGTGTGTTACTGAATTAGATAGTCCGCGAAAATAGTTTGTGGTAACAATTTATTACATTGTACACCACTTTCATGTCTGAGCATTGCAAGGTGGAAGAGTTGACTGAAGTAGCTCTCGACTCAAAAGACCGATACGAATTATTGTGACAAGGGCAACTATGTATGTTCTCACCCCCGAAACCTTATGGAATGGATGAGACAAGTTACTCGATACTCCACAGTATTTGACTATAAGGCCGACGAATGAATGCATCTATGCATACCGATGCTACATCGCAGGATCGTGAGAGATGGCGACGACTTTGGGGACGCCTTCATCCAGCAGTGGATTAAGCATGGCCGATAATGATGATGCTTACCAAAATACCCTTTGTGCCTTTCTCCCAACATGTAAGTGAACTGTTACATCACAGTGACGTTTCTCATGTCCACAGATGGGCATGAAAGTCCACCCCCGATTAGGCATGAAAGTAATTATTACTCTGATCGACAAACTTAAATCGTGGATAAATCGAGATAACAGGATGAATCCTAAGCATGATAACGATGATGATCATTAGCCATGTAACATTTCAACCCCCCACAGTAGGCATGTTTACCTTCTCTCGCACCGTACATAGACTACCGTGGTAATTGAAGGTGCGGGGGAAGGACAACAAGCTAAACACAATAAGCAGTTTTAAAGAAATGATCTTTCAATCGATGTGTAAAAGTGCATAGCTCCAGTGGCTTGCTAATATCGGAAGGAAGAGCGTTCCAGACGGCCGCAATGACGTGCCACAATTAGGGGTTCAGAGTCCAATCTTTCTCGTCTCCTTTTAACTCTCTCATTTGTATTGTCTTTTCGTTACAGCTCACTTGTACAATTTAGTTGACTTCATCACACTAAACGTAAACATTCATATGCGTACAGTAAAAAATAAATGCATAATTGATTCTTACATGCAGAAATCCATGCACTGCTGGCCCCATTCAAGACTGTTTTTGTCAGATCTTTGCCGAAAATGTGCCGCTGCCAACATTGTGGAAAATGATCAAGGTGGTGTGCCGGGAAAGTCTCGTCAAGATCTCGTCTCGGGGTCTCTGATTCACACATTGCTGCATGTTCCCTTTGGGACAATTTTCTTTTTTTTTGTACAAACACGTCACTCGTCGTCATCCGCAATGAAACGAATTTGCCAAGGTGGCGCTTTTCAGTCATTTTTTCTATGCAGCATTCGGTGTTTGCCCAGTAACATTTTATGAACATGTTAAATATACGTGGATAATTATAGTTTAAATACTTATTGTACAGGCTGTGTTTGTTTGAGATATTTGCTTAAAAACAATGTCAATCTGACCGATAAATGTTAGACTTTACGCATCTAATGCTGCAGCTTATTAGCCAATAGAAAGCGATAGAAGTGCAACTCCCCGGTGTATTTCAGTCGCCCAGCGTGTTTTTCGGCACAATTTCCTTCCCAAATGTCGCTCTCCTCGTACGCCTGGGGAGCTTCTTCAGGAACTGAATTAAGCATGTGGAGCAAAACGTCGGACATCGTGTCCAATAACTCATGGTACAACCCAACGATACATCGGAGAGCTATACCATACAAACTTGCGGAGTAGAAGTGATAGCGTCGCAGTCATGAGTATGCGGTGGGATGTTACCCTCTCAGGGAGTGGGGTACGGAGACTTCTTAACGCACGTGTTAGTCAAGGTAATTAAACAATTCCATTGGTGTCCTCACTTTGGCATGAGATAATAACAGACGTGTGGTTCTAGTTTCTATACTTGGCTTTGACAGCGCTGTACAGTTTTTAATTATTTCCCAAAATGCTATGAAGCAAGCGGGTTTTCTGAAGTTGGCAATAGTGAACAAGAAACATCTCAAATATTTAATTGGGAATTCACATCTTTATCTGACCTTCTAAAAGACTGGCTTTTCATTGGAGCTCAAACGTAATTATTAATGTGATTCGAAGAATTGTGACAGGCTTATGTTGACTCACCTACAGTTGAACTTTTAAGTTATCTTTTTACGTACTGGGGGTGTTACAAAGCATAAAAACAATGCAATAATAATACAAATATAATTACAAATTGACATGAAACTGATATCGCCATATGGTAATTATCTTACACTAAAAATGTATGTCGTATCGTGTTTGGAAAAATTATATTGCGGTAGTTCCTTACAAGATGGGAATGCCTTCTGGGACTCAACTTTGTTTAAATACAATTTCACGCGTGCCCCGAAGAGCAGTCAGGGGCCAGAAACAGGTTAACTTTGATTCACGAAATTATTATTTCCACAACGTAACTTTGTAACGTAACTTTGTAACGAGACTTGTACCAAACGCGGGCATGATTTGACAGCGGCAAGCAATGTCTTGCGTACATGTCGATGGTGAATTTAGAATGCGGCCGTAGTATTTCAGTTGATCGGAGTGTTCATCTGATCTGTTGCAAAACAGAAAGTTTAGAAATATAGCGCTGCAATCTTTTTCCGGGGAAATTTAAAGAAATGTTTTAACCGTCTTATACAACCTAACATTCTGTATAATATAGTCATCCCTGAAAATATATGTGGATTATTTAAGAAATTATTAAAATATCTCTTAACGTTTAAATAATGTGCTTGAAGAACAACCCGTGTTTTTTTCAATACAGCTTTTCAAACAATGATCCAAACTTCATGTGACATTCACCCTTAGAGCAGAGAAGCTCTGTTTTTAAGGTTAATCTTAAAATTGTACTATGTATGTATAATAATCGCCACTAAGCAGTGCGAGTTGAAGTGGCAGACCCAGAATCTTTCTGCTATCGCTCGACACTGATTTTGGTCAGGGCCGAGAATGGAACTCAGGTCACCGGGCTGATAGCGCATTTCGTTTGCCGCCATGTCACCACTCTGCACATGTACCTTAGCTGATTTCTTTCCTTCAAAAATATTAATCGCATCTGACATTGATTAGTTCGACAAAATATAAAGGATGTGTACAATGTCATCCTTTTGGCGAGTGATCGTTTCTATGGAAGGACCTTTCTACCCGTTTATTATATGGCTTTTACAAATCACTGTTATTTTAATAACTATCCTATAGCAGTATTTGTATTAAATAAGCGAATTATAAACCCATTAAATGAATGTATAGTATCCTAAATATCGCAACACTGTACTATAATGTATATTTAAAAAGAAATATGTATACAATCCATATTGTGGTTCTGTCACGTAGTGGTTTGACAGGATCTTGTAAGGCTTCTCAGCAGTGGTGGAACACGTGCTGTTTGTATCCACGTGTGTGTTAGTGGCACACCAACATGGATGGTGACCTGTAGTGCAGTGTATTCTGGATTGATGCAGTGGAGATATGCAAATGTTACAGGATATTTTTGGCTGGTCCGTTTTGCAAGGTGCATGCCTGCAATTTCTTGCTCATGCCACTGTTGAAGGAGAAGGGTCTTTTAGCCAACTCTTCCACACTGGCCAAACTTCCAGATCATCGATAGTAAGTGGTTTTTCTTTTCAACTGCCATGCTGGGCCATGGAATGAAACTGGCGCCTTTTGGATTGCAAGTCCCGACTGGTTGTCTTTTTTCAATTGCAGTACATTAGTCATATCTCTTTTTTATTTTCATTGTAAAATTGTGGTGTTAAAATACTGTACATGTATTGTGCAAAGTTACTGTATTCCATGTCATGTTCACCATTTTATGTTCAATGTCCGCTTTTTTTTTCAAATACTGGACTTTAGCTTCCTCTTAGCTTGGCATCGATATACGCTATTTGAACTTGAGTGTGCAATTGAAGCATCTGTTGGTTATGAGTGGCACTGCTCCACATTTGTTAACTTTCATATGTTCGGTATTAACTGGAGTATGGATTGTGGGTGTTTGAAAGTGTCCATTTTTATTGTGGCCCCAACCAGATTAAATTCATCACATTTAAACATGAACATGTTTTGAACTTCCTCTTGGCTTCATACTGCATAGCCTATGGCCAGTGCCATCTCAAAATGCACCAAAAGTTCCGACCATATTGTGACTTAAAGCTTTCGTGGCTGCAGGAATACATATTCTATGGGCCTCTCGGTAAAGCCATATGGCTTTTACCGAAAGACCCATAGAATACATATTGTGACACGTAATTTCTTAATACACTCAACTGCACACATTGGCTTGTTCACAAGTCTTTGTACGCAGCCACACACACAAACAGAAGTCGACCACAGATGCTGACATGGTGTGGGAGAGGCCTTCCTCCACCAGTGGCTTGACAAAGGGCTGTAAAATAGAATACATTTATTTAAATTTATATATGGGCCAGTTTTGTAAGTTAGGTAACCTCAGTAAAAAAACCCTGCAAACCTCATACATATTGCAGTACATATGGTTTGTAATTTTTAAGATAATTGCACAGTATGGCTTATTTATGGAATAAGAATTAATTGTTTGACACAGATGCATGCAGCGAGATGCTGACACCAAGCAGAGATGTGGAGACGTGTGCTGGAAAGATCTTGATTCAGTTCCTGAGGAAGTCCTATGGCTTGTGGAGCAAAGCGTGGAGATATCCTGTTGTACAACACCTGGTACAACGCGCAAAAAAAAATTCTGAGAACTACACAGCACAACTGCAAAAAAAACCTACGTGCTCGTATAACTCGAACCTGTGATGTCCTTCAAGACACCACTGTGCCGAGATTCTCAATGTAAGAAGAGGAGCAGTGCTGCAGCGATTCTGTTCTCGGATCGTAAACAATTGGGCACATTCTCCCCCCCCCGGCCCCCCCCCCCCCGCCCCACCTCTGCCGTGACCCAGAGAACGTGGCGCAAGGTCCACGGCGCGCTGTACTCGGGCAGCACCTGCGGCGTCGCTCGCCTCGAGCTGCTCGAGGGCAAGGACGCCGCAGAGCGGCACAGCCGCAGCAAGGAGAAGAAGATCATCAAGATGGCCGACTGCGTGAGCATCAAGCGCAACGAGGAGCTCGGAGCCCCGCGCGACTGCCTCGTCCTGCGCCTTGAGACCACGGCCAAGGAGTATTACCTGGCGGCCGAGAAAGCGGACTTCGGCGATTGGTTCTGCCAACTCTGTCAGATTGCCTTCCCGGTGAGTGCACGTGCGACTCGGTGCCAAAGCGGTGAATTTGCTTCAGGGCCACTTTTCTTTCCCAAACTCCAATCCTCACAAAACACCATGGTCTACTGTTCCGTGATTACTAATTGTTTTCCGCTTGGGTACAAATTAATTCTGAACGCACAGCTGCACATGTCTCACGGTTGCTAAACGCGTCACGCTTGACGCGTTTAGCAACCGTGAGACGATCCGGAGTTTGAGACCAGGAAAGGCACCAGGCGGAGATGATCTCCCAAGCGAAATGCTGAGGGAGGGTGGCGTTTGTGCACAGACTGCGCTATATGACATCATGACAACAGTCTGGACAACTGGACGGGTTACGCAGGATTGGAAGGATGCCCTGGTGGTCCCCCTCTTTAAGAAGGGAGACCGCACAGACTGTAACAACTACAGGGGCATCTCACTCCTCAGTGTGTCGGGAAAGGTCCTGGCAAGGATTATTCAACATCGCCTTGCCAGGCACGCTGAGGAGAGGCTTGCGGAGCCCCAATGCGGTTTCAGGAAAGGGCGGTCCTGCACAAATGCCATATTTTCTGTCTGCTACAGCAGAGGTGTAAGGAATTCCAGCAAGACCTACATCTCTGCTTTATTGACCTGGTCAAGGCCTATGATACCATCAGTAGGCCTGGGCTCTGGGTTGTTCTTCGTGCTTTTGGAGTCCCTGACCCTCTGCTCACGATCATTAAGGACCTTCATGATGGTGAGCGGGCCCGGGTAAAACTACGTGGGCGGGAGTCAGAGCCATTCCCTGTACATCTTGGGGTGCGACAGGGATGTCCTCTGGCTCCCACATTATTTAACATCTATTTTGACCACGTAGTTTGTGAAGCCTTCAATAGCTGTACCGGGGGAATCTCCATTTGGTACAGATAATGGGAGGCTGATCGATGCCCGGGTGCGGTCAAGGGATGGCTCCCTATTGCTCAACCACGTTATGTATGCCGATGATTTGGTAATAGCTGCTCATACAGAGGAGGAGTTGGAGACGCTGCTGCTGAGACTGGAGCGTGCCACTAAGAGATGGGGCCTTACCATCAGCCCCACCAAAACTAAGTACCTGCCTGGGTATTTTGTACCATCGGACACTCCACCCCCACAACTCCCAATCGGTGATGGGGCAATTGTGGAGAGAGTGGAGAGTTTCCCATACCTGGGCAGTGTGCTTATGATCGGCTCCAGTTTAACAGCAGAGGTCTCACTCCGAATCAGTCGAGCGGCAATATCTTTTCATCGGTTGCGTAACGCTGTGTGGAAGCTACCTGGTCTGTCGCTCCGCACTAAGCTTCAGGTCTTCTCGGCCACGGTCATTCCCTCCCTTCTCTACGCTTGCGAAACGTGGATCCCCCTAATGGAACATCTTTGCCGGTTAGAAACATTTAGGCTAGCCTGCCTATGATCCATCCTGGGTTTAACCAGGCTGGATTGTGTGAGGAGCTCACAAATCCTTTAAAGATCTGGGCAAGGTCCCATCGGTGAGCTCCTCCGGCAGGCAAGGCTGCGTTGGCTGGGTCATGTAGCCCACATGCCCAGCCACCGCATGCCGAAACAGCTTTTGTTCTGCCGGATTGAGGGAGCTAAATGGGCGCGGCACGGGCTAGAGAAGAGATGGAGTGATGTGGTACAGTAGGACGTGGAGCTGAGTGGACTTGCCGATGACTGGTACCAGCGGTGTCAAGATCGGCCTCTGTGGAAGAGGCTCGTGAAGGACGCTACTGGGCAGTTTGAGGCAGTCGTCCTCCAACAACAACGAAGGGTGGAGGAGCGACGCTCACAACAACAAGCGGAGCGCCGGGTGGCTAAAGCACAGCAGGTTGGCATAGTAGGGGGCACAGGTGGTGCATCAGCCAGTCATCTCAGTCATCTTAGTCAGTCGACCCGTGGCACTTGGGTCTGCCCTGTGACCTCCTGCCAGCGGGCATTCGACACTTCACGTGGCCTCAAGGTGCACATGGCCTGGCACAAGTGTCGTGGTGACGTCACCGCCACTTAGTGGCAAATGGCGGTTGTTGTTGTTGTTGCTTACCAACCATCGGGTATGTATGCTGAACTTCTTTCGCACCGTACGTAGCCAACCACATTAATCGGAGGTGCGGGGGAGGGACAACAAACTAAACACAAAAAGCAGTTCTAAAGAAATGAGTTTTCAATCTAGATTTCAAAGTGCATAGCTCCAGTGGCTTCGTAATATCGAAAGGAAGAGCGTTCCAGACAGCCGCAGAAGGGCATCTCAAAGCGCGCGACGCGGTGACCGTCTTTGTTCGATGGCGAGTCAAATAGCCGCTGCTGCGAAGATGACCGAATTTCACGTGACGGTTTATTCACCTTGACGAGATCATCGCACACTGCATGGCTACGTGCAGCGACTTAATTTGTGTTTGAACGGAGAAGGTTGGTAAACATGAAGAGGCAGACTGGTGGGTTGCAAGCTGTTTGGGATCCTGGTTTAGAGAATTACCATTGATTAAAAAAAGGTTGTTAATATCCTTGAAGTAAACAGTATAAAACATTCAGAATGTACATGGTGGTTTCAAATATTTGTGTGAACTGTTTTCAATGCAGATTTCTGGTGTACACCCACTCACAACCATTAAGCACTGCTCACAGACCTTGTACCTGTTTGTGCCGTGAAAAATATTAGGTGATGTTTTTATTTAAATCACAGTGTCTGATTACAGGTTCAAAAGTTCACATTGCTGAGCAACCCACATTAAACAGCGTTATTGAAAGTGGAATACATAAGCATTATTACGTTTTTTTATTGTGCAAGATTATTCTACGAACTTAAGTAAAAAGGAGACAATGGGAGGGTATTCCAAAGTTGAGCAGTGTGAGGAAAGAGAGGTGTTTTGACCTGCAGTGTGATGGGTTGAACCCCTAGTCTTCCTCTGAACAAACGTGTCCATTGTTGTCCCATACAACTTTATTACGCACACATTCACCAACCCACACTGACTAGCATGGTGAAGTTTGGTCAAATAATCCCCATGAACCTCGTAACTTCGTGGGGAGGATTAACAAAGGGCTGTACCTGTATAACATCAAACACTGTACAGGGTATTTTTTAGTATTAAAAACGTCTTCAAATGTAATAAAGACCTTCCTTTGTTTGGCCTGTGAGACCACAGCATATGGTGTCAAAATAACTGCTCCAAAAATAGCAGAAGCAGCCACCACAACCTAATTATTGCTTTTGGTTCACCCTAACATACGCAACAGACACAGACTTTAGAACAACCAACACTCCCCCCACACTGATCTCTTTGTACAGACCACTTCCCAGGAAACCCTTCTGCAATCACAATAAATGAGTGGGACGCACCCCACAGTTCATGCACTTGTCCATAATGATGTCTGTACAAAAAACGTCTTCAAAGCTACGCGCAGACTCCCACGCTCAGTGATGAATTCGCTTGTGAGAGCAGGGTTGCTCTCTAACACAAGTCTGTGCGGGCGCATATTTTTAAAGGATAGTGACAACTGCAGTTATTGTCTTTAGAACAGTGGGTAGGTTCAGTTATTATTTTAGGTTCGGTTATAGTTATGCATTCATGGTATGCACTGTTCAAGAAAGTTGTCAAATAAAAACGACCACAGCGTGCCAAGTGATTTCCTGCTCAAATGAACATTGAAGCAGTACCCATCTACCTTGTACAGCGCTTAGCCAGTGGTGGAAATTCCACGTTCTAATGGCGGTGGCGATTCTTTGCATTGGACAACCACTGTTGACTCCCCCACAAAGTGACACTCCTTTTTATCGACCCCAGAGAGATGATGGGTTGAGTCAACCCCTCACCAGGATTTGAACTTTTGGAACCTTTTCAGTTTCTACCGCTGACCCAGCTGACTCACTCTCCCCAGCGTGTGCACACTAAATATCGGCACAAGTGGTCGCTCGTGCTTTGAGTGAGGCTGCGGGGATAATGAAGATGGAAAGAGCGCTGCTGGATTTCGTCTGGCTCTTGTCTGGAGTTGGGGGTATGAGGAAAGGAGTGAGAGAAACAGCAGCTGTTTTGTACCGAGGAAGATATTTGGTTAAAATTGAACAACAGCAGGCACGTTACTGTTTTTTTTTGCTGAAGTAGCTATGTGAATACTTGCTGAAAGATATGACGTGGAATGCAAGCAACGTCGAATTGGGGTAAAAGCGTGCTCAGTGCTTGCTTAGGTAAACAGCACAAACTGCTCTTTTTATTCATAATACGGGAAAGACTGGTGCTGACCTTTATTATGGGGTGAGATGTTATCTGTCTCGCCTGGTACACAGTAGGTCGGGGGTTTGATCCCGACCCTGATATATGTTGTGTATTATAGAGGCTGCATGTTCTCTCTCCCTGTGGCGATGTCGATTTTTCTCCCCCGGGTCCTTTGGGTTTGCCCTACATATTTAGAAACACGATAAGCTAACTTGTACGAGCGATCACGTGTGGCCAGGTTGCCTCTGAAAACTAGTTAAAACAATGGTGCAAGTTTCTTAAATCCCCCCCCGCCCCGCCTCTGTTCACTCAGCAATGTAAATGGCTACACCACATTCCATCGATTGGCAGGTCGTGTGCAATGGAGTAAAATGTGGGTACAGCCACCCGTTCCAACATGTCAATGTGGTACGGTAAGCCAAATGCTCTTCATAGTTTGCTCCAGCGGAGGCCCTTCCGCTAGCAGCGGCATTCGCAAGCATCTGCAGGGCTGCACCTTTACCTGTCTCACCGCAGGTGTCCAGGCACACACCTGGACGGGCGTTTGGCACAGCCCAACTGACGTCGCGCCCTCTGGCTGGTTGGAGGCGTTTCGGTGAATCTCTGGCAAATCTCCTGTGAATTCAGGATAGATGAAGATTTGAATATGGAGGTTGCGGGCTTTGCTGATTCACGCCAAGTTTTTACTTTCACACTTTGTCAAAGTACGTGAACGTCGCCCTGAACGTATGTCGAAACAGTGCACTGCCTGTTTAAAACAAGAGGCCTTGACGAGTATGATCATTTGGTGTTGATTGAAATTGTCAGGTCACACTGTGTTTGATAGTGTTATGGTGGTGTTTGCCTCTGCCGTTGTATTACTAAGTTTGATAAGTATAGACTGCCCATCTTTGCAAATTGTACACATTGCGATCGAGTAGCCGGTGTGCAGCAGCCTCCGTTGCGGGCTGTGAACCCGGCGACCTGAGTTCGACCCCCAACCTTGGCGGCGGCTAACGTGGGCGGCACCGAGTCATGTGCGGATCAGACCTGGGCACCACCCCCCACCCATCCCCACTCGTGTTTAGCAACTCGCAGTGACCAGTGTGGTGAAGTATGGTCGAACAACTCTCATGGCGATGGTGAAATTACAAAAGGGTTGGATTGTGACTATCCTGTCCTCGTTATGCTTGACATCGATACGTTTACAGTGTAACATACGGCATGTGTCTTTGTAACTCATACGGTCATGAGGCTGGTACAGTATTTACCAACCTACCATGCCGATCCTCCCACTCATAACCTTAGCAGTACAGTAATGCGTTCAAACCCCCAAATGTCCCAGCGAGACTGGCCACTTTCTGCCGCATGCCGCTGGTGTATCCGTGCATTGCGCGCGGTCCAAACCTGCCCGGTTCTGTCCACTGTGGTTTCATCAGCCGAGGAGTTGGCTCGGCACGCGTTCCTTCCCCTCCCGTCCCACACGTGCCTGCCCAAACCAGTTTGGGGAGCTGATCTCGCCTCGCCACTCACTCCATGCTGAAAGTTGTGGCTATTTTATAGGGTGGTCCAGATGTCTTGTAACCCTCCCCCCCCCCCCCCCCATTTCGTTATCCCAAAACTTTATAACAAAAATTCAAGTAAGGTTTATTTAAAAAAAAAAAATTATTCTACTTTCGTGTGGCTGCTGATGTAGATGCGGAGCCACAACTACAACTCCACATCCAGGTGGGCGAGCCAGACATCCGCGTCGGGAGCAGCGGAGTGGGAGCGTGTCTCTGTGATGACGTCTCTCTCCTTCGTATTTGTGGTTCGGGCGTTGCGCCCTTAAGGGGTCAATTAATTGGGGGCCACAAGACATCTGGACCACCCTGTACATTGGGGTGGGGGTGTTGAGGCATCTGCGTTCTGGTGGCAGTAATAGCTTGTACCGATCGAAGATCTGTTATAGCCCTTGTGTTGAATTTTAGGAAACTGGAAACTGTTTTGAGAGAGCTAATCTGGCCGGGAAGTACACGTGGGGTTTTTCTACAGTGGGGTAGGTGGCAGCCCAACTCGGCCCGCCGTACAGACTGCCTGCAAATGCTGAAGAGGGCTGGGGAGATGATGCCCAAATCGGCCGCACTTGCAGTAGGCGATGGGTGTCGCAGCCTTTCCTCGTACACACAGAGCGTGAAAGATCGTAGACTGCGCGACATGCTAAAGTAAATCGCGTCGTTGCCAATCTTGAGTCGTGACCCCGTTAAGCAAGATCACGCTAGGTGCTAAGAGTTGACTTGAGATCTTCAGTGTTGCAGTACAAATTTCGGGGTGCTTTATAGATGTAATCAATGAAGGTTTTTTTTTGTGGTGAAAAAATAAACTGTTGCATAGAAATCGTTACTTAAAGCAAATACAACTCCCACTCATGCAATATATGCAGAGTTTGGTTGATCGCTGGTTGATAGCATACCTAAAGTGAAAACCTTCTCACCCACTGCATGCAGAGATAAACACGGCATGTTCGCTTGCAGTTTTGCATTTCGAATGTGTGCAAACTTTTATTTGTTTCCATCCCTTCTCCTGGGCTTAATCTTTCACATTGTTGTCTCGATTGTTTTGAATTTTGTATATGCAAGCATATCGTTTTAACGTAGGAGCTCACATTGTTATAACAATGTGTGTTTGCTCCCCATATTCACCCACCCTCCCTGACCAGCATGGCCAAAATCCTCCACGATCCACGTAGCATGGGAAGGCCCTAATCCAGCAGTGGAATGACAAAGGGATGTGCATATATACCTATGTAGGTAAACGGGTAGTAAAGGCAAAGGTGGCGGCGTGAAACAACTTTCTCTCGCCACTGCTGGTGGAGGGAGCTCTACAGCACACCTCGGATATTTTGGCCGACTTTGCCAAATCGGCCGGACGGCTTGGAAGAGATCGGGGTACCCACACTTTACCCCACGGAACCTACCGATTGGACCAATTGTGGTTCATAGTGCTGGGTATACAAGGGGGGGATGGGAGGGTGGGGGGAGTCGAGGGGAGAGGAGCAGAGGAGGAGGGGGTGCGGCATTCCGGAAGCTTGACCACCATTTTAACTGCTTTAACCTTTTTGTCTCTTCAGCAGAATGTTCTCGGTTAATCTGCCCCCGTGTGTTGTATATTTCACGTGTGCGCTACCTTAATGTGTGCTTCCTTAATGTGCATCGCTTCCTTGTTTTCCTCTCCATCTGTCCATGAGCAGCAGGCGGCCTCAGGATATGGATCATTTGATAATGGCCTTGGCTCTAAGCCCCTGGAGATGGAGGAGAACAGCATCTATTCTTCTGCTGACGAAGGTAAATAGATGTTTTAATTTACTTAATTTATCCTTCAAAATCGCCATAGGGTTCACTCAAGCCACTTTAAAGGGTATTTAAAATTTTCTTGGAAAAATGTGGAAAGTAGAGTATCCGCTAATATTTTGTGGATATTCATAACAACATTTCTAAAACATAGCGGGTGTTCATACATTTATGTAAGGTTTAAAAACTTATATATCTATGGGAACATTTGTGGATTAGGTGTAAGAAGACAATAGTGGATAACAACATGTCCATGCGCACCCAATCACATTTATTTGTTTGTGGAAAATATAACGTATTCGCAGGATATCGATTTAATTTATAGATCACTTCAATGGCTTATCTCAACCATTTCAGTGTACTGCTGCAGTTTATCCAGGGGGTCCCAAGTGGCAGCAGTCCCTGTGTAGCACGAGGTGGTAGCAGTTCCTGCATGGTCCCATGTTGTAGCTGCTCACCCCGAGCTATTAATGCCCTGATAGTGGCATTGTCTTTGTACTGTTTGCTTTTTGCCGTTCTCTGGTCTAACACTGGTTGAGACCAGGCCCTAAAGAAGGCTGTATCTGGTGTAGACCAATCAGTTCCAAAGACAATGTCATATATTACCAGATAAAACATTTTTTTTGCATGTTCACCACAAGTACGTGTGCTTAATGCAGACATGATTCCTTGCAAAAGGTGTCTGTTTGGTGTTTGAACATCTTAACACAACTGTTTTGTTGCCAGAAAGGGTTAAACCTATTCTTATACATGAGCATTAGTTTGTCAGTCGGACGAGATGCTTCTTTGTGGATTTTTTCAGTCGGGTAATATGCGAATCTGGGCCGTGATGCCGGCACACGTAGCCTGCTGTTTCTCGAATAACGTCACGGGGATCTTTGATAGAAACGTGAAGGAGACGGCGCGTACTTTGTGGTTAATACTCTGGCAGTATTTACCAGGGCGGTCACTGGGCACGAACAGCGAACCTCCGCAACCAGCGGCAAACACGCCACCGCATGGTCACATCACCACACCGAGCCAAGTAAAGACAATTGATTATAAAATCAATCGGGCTGTCACTCACAATATTGGCATTCTGACATTAAAAGCTAGCCGATGTTTTAATGTAAATATGGCCACACACAGCATGCTATCTCTGTGCCATCAACCTTCGTAGGTTTTTCTATCGACAGCAAGGCACTGCACGTCACCGCGGCACTGTATCAGCTGCTTTTGTTTGCGCGTGGGTTAAAAGGAGAGGCTGGCAGGGCGCTTTAAGGCTGCCTTTGATGTCAAAGAATATAAACAATATTGTTCCAATGTCTGAAAATCCGCACGTGGAACACGCTTTAGGCTTTGTAGATGTCATACGATTTCTCAGCAGGTATTAAATCCTAGCGCTCTCCTTAGAGCATTGCCCTTCTGCTCGCCATCGCTTGAGGGCGCTGCAAGAGCACAAAGTGACCACCACGGAGCTTTGCTTCACCGTGAGCCGGGGTGGGTGGCTGGTAGGTAATGTGTTGTAGGTGGTAATGTGTTGTAGGTGGTAATGTGGTGGTAATGTGTTGTAGGTGGTAATGTGGTGGTAATGTGTTGTAGGTGGTAATGTGTTGTAGGTGGTAATGTGGTGGTAATGTGTTGTAGGTGGTAATGTGGTGGTAATGTGTTGTAGGTGGTAATGTGGTGGTAATGTGTTGTAGGTGGTAATGTGGTGGTAATGTGTTGTAGGTGGTAATGTGGTGGTAATGTGTTGTAGGTGGTAATGTGGTGGTAATGTGTTGTAGGTGGTAATGTGGTGGTAATGTGTTGTAGGTGGTAATGTGTTGTAGGTGGTAATGTGGTGGTAATGTGTTGTAGGTGGTAATGTGGTGGTAATGTGTTGTAGGTGGTAATGTGGTGGTAATGTGTTGTAGGTGGTAATGTGGTGGTAATGTGTTGTAGGTTGTAATGTGGTGGTAATGTGTTCTAGGTGGTAATGTGGTGGTAATGTGTTGTAGGTGGTAATGTGGTGGTAATGTGGTGGTAATGTGTTGTAGGTGGTAATGTGTTGTAGGTGGTAATGTGGTGGTAATGTGTTGTAGGTGGTAATGTGGTGGTAATGTGTTGTAGGTGGTAATGTGGTGGTAATGTGTTGTAGGTGGTAATGTGGTGGTAATGTGGTGGTAATGTGTTGTAGGTGGTAATGTGTTGTAGGTGGTAATGTGGTGGTAATGTGTTGTAGGTGGTAATGTGGTGGTAATGTGTTGTAGGTGGTAATGTGGTGGTAATGTGTTGTAGGTGGTAATGTGGTGGTAATGTGTTGTAGGTGGTAATGTGGTGGTAATGTGTTGTAGGTGGTAATGTGGTTGTAATGTGTTGTAGGTGGTAATGTGGTGGTAATGTGTTGTAGGTGGTAATGTGGTGGTAATGTGTTGTAGATGGTAATGTGGTGGTAATGTGTTGTAGGTGGTAATGTGGTGGTAATGTGTTGTAGGTGGTAATGTAGTGGTAATGTGTTGTAGGTGGTAATGTGGTGGTAATGTGTTGTAGGTGGTAATGTGTTGTAGGTGGTAATGTGGTGGTAATGTGGTGGTAATGTGTTGTAGGTGGTAATGTGTTGTAGGTGGTAATGTGGTGGTAAAGTGGTGGTAATGTGTTGTAGGTGGTAATGTGGTGGTAATGTGTTGTAGGTTGTAATGTGGTGGTAATGTGTTGTACGTGGTAATGTGGTGTAGGTGGTAATGTGTTGTAGGTGGTAATGTGTTGTAGGTGGTAATGTGGTGGTAATGTGTTGTAGGTGGTAATGTATTGTAGGTGGTAATGTGGTGGTAATGTGTTGTAGGTGGTAATGTAGTGGTAATTTGGTGGTAATGTGTTGTAGCCGAGGGTGAATTCGCAATGCCTTGCGTGATTCGTTATCTGATTGCGAACAAGGAAATCGAGCGGGGCCAAAATTCGTGACAATTTTCCCAATTTGCTCGAGTCTGCATCTCGGTGTGTGTCTCCGTGTCAGTGTGTGTCTCTGTGTCAGTGTGTGTCTCCTTGTGAGTGTGTGTCTGCTTGTGAGTGTGTGTCTCCTTGTGAGTGTGTGTCTGCTTGTGAGTGTGTGTCTCCTTGTGAGTGTGTGTCTCCTTGTGAATGTGTGTCTCTGTGTCAGTGTCTGTCTCCTGGTCAGTGTGTGTCTCTGTGTCAGTGTGTGTCTCTGTGTCGGTGTGTGTCTCCGTGTCAGTGTGTGTCTCCGTGTCAGTGTGTGTCTCCTTGTCAGTGTGTGTCTCTTTGTCAGTGTGTGTCTCTGTGTCATTGTGTGTGTCTCCTTGTGAGTGTGTCTCTTTGTCAGTGTGTGTCTCTGTGTCGGTGTGTGTCTCCGTGTCATTGTGTGTCTCCGTGTCGGTGTGTGTCTCCTTGTCAGTGTGTGTCTCCTTGTGAGTGTGTGTCTCTTTGTCAGTGTGTCTCTGTGTCATTGTGTGTGTCTCCTTGTGAGTGTGTCTCCTTGTGAGTGTGTGTCTCCGTGTCGGTGTGTGTCTCTGTGTCAGTGTCTGTCTCTGTGTCAGTGTGTGTCTCCTTGTCAGTGTGTGTCTCTGTGTCAGTGTGTGTCTCCGTGTCGGTGTGTGTGTCTCCTTGTGAGTGTGTCTCCTTGTCAGTGTGTGTCTCCTTGTGAGTGTGTCTCTTTGTGAGTGTGTGTGTCTCTGTGTCAGTGTGTGTCTCCTTGTCAGTGTGTGTCTCTGTGTCAGTGTGTGTCTCCGTGTCGGTGTGTGTCTCCGTGTCGGTGTGTGTCTCTGTGTCGGTGTGTGTCTCCTTGTGAGTGTGTGTCTCCTCATGAGTGTGTCTCTGTGTCAGTGTGTGTCTCCTTGTCGGTGTGTGTCTCCGTGTCAGTGTCTGTCTCCGTGTGTCTCCTTGTGAGTGTGTGTCTCCGTGTCGGTGTGTGTCTCTGTGTCTCCGTGTGTCTCTTTGTGAGTGTGTGTGTGTCTCCTTGTCAGTGTGTGTCTCCTTGTGAGTGTGTGTCTCTGTGTCAGTGTGTGTCTCTGTGTCAGTGTGTGTCTCTGTGTCAGTGTGTGTATCTGTGTCAGTGTGTGTCTGCTTGTGAGTGTGTTTCTTTGTGAGTGTGTGTCCGTGTCAGTGTATGTCTCCGTGTCGGTGTGTGTCTCCTTGTCAGTGTGTGTCTCCTTGTCAGTGTGTGTCTCCTGGTCAGTGTGTGTCTGCTTGTGAGTGTGTCTCTTTGTGAGTGTGTGTCCATGTCAGTGTATGTCTCCGTGTCGGTGTGTGTCTCCGTGTCAGTGTGTGTCTCTGTGTCAGTGTGTGTCTCCTTGTCAGTGTGTGTCTCCTTGTCAGTGTGTGTCTCCTGGTCAGTGTGTGTCTGCTTCTGAGTGTGTGTCTCCGTGTCAGTGTGTGTCTCCTTGTCAGTGTGTGTCTCCTTGTCAGTGTGTGTCTCCGTGTCAGTGTGTGTCTCCTTGTCAGTGTGTGTCTCCTTGTCAGTGTGTGTCTCTGTGTCAGTGTGTGTCTCTGTGTCAGTGTGTGTCTCTGTGTCAGTGTGTGTCTCTGTGTCAGTGTGTGTCTCTGTGTCAGTGTGTGTCTCTGTGTCAGTGTGTGTCTCCGTGTCGGTGTGTGTCTCCTTGTCAGTGTGTGTCTCCGTGTCAGTGTGTGTCTCCTGGTCAGTGTGTGTCTCCTGGTCAGTGTGTGTCTCTGTGTCATTGTGTGTCTCTGTGTCAGTGTGTGTCTCCGTGTCAGTGTGTGTCTCCGTGTCAGTGTGTGTCTCCTGGTCAGTGTGTGTCTCCTGGTCAGTGTGTGTCTCTGTGTCCGTTTTCCCAACTGTGCGTGTGCAACCGATGGGGTTGGGAGCGCCGGGGCTGAGGACTGACGGACGTCTGCTGCCGTGCTGCGCCGCAGCCCATCGAGAGGGGAGGGCGGGAGTTGGGTAGGGGGGCTATTGAAGTGTTTTACTCTCCTATCAGAACGAACACACCGCGGCTCACCGGTTCAGAAGCACTGCTTTAGACTACAGTGGAGTAATCCATGTATAGATACCCCAATAAAATAACGGGAAGACGTTATAACAGCCGCATGAATTCAAAGCCCTCTGCATGTCATCCAACAGCCTCAATACAGCCTGCAGGATGTCAGTCCTTCACGGCGTAGTGTGTTACCAATTGTTTTCTTGGTGACTATGGTCCCAGCTGCCGTGAGATCATTGACAAGATCCTCCCGTGTAGTTCTGGGCTGATTCCTCACCGTTCTCATGATCATTGCAACTCCACGAGGTGAGATCTTGCATGGAGCCCCAGGCCGAGGGAGATTGACAGTTCTTTTGTGTTTCTTCCATTTGCGAATAATCGCACCAACTGTTGTCACCTTCTCACCAAGCTGCTTGGCAATGGTCTTGTAGCCCATTCCAGCCTTGTGTAGGTCTACAATCTTGTCCCTGACATCCTTGGAGAGCTCTTTGGTCTTGGCCATGGTGGAGAGTTTGGAATCTGATTGATTGATTGCTTCTGTGGACAGGTGCCTTTTATACAGGTAACAAGCTGAGATTAGGAGCACTCCCTTTAAGAGTGTGCTCCTAACCTCAGCTCGTTACCTGTATGAAAGAAACCTGGGAGCCATAAATCTTTCTGATTGAGAGGGGGTCAAATACTTATTTCCCTCATTAAAATGCAAATCAATTTATAACATTTTTGACATGCGTTTTTCTGGATTTTTTTGTTGTTATTCTGTCTCTCACGGTTCAAATAAACCTACCATTATAATTATAGACTGATCATTTCTTTGTCAGTGGGCAAACGTACAAAATCAGCAGGGGATCAAACACTTTTTTCCCTCACTGTACACACCAACACACACAAAACCTACTACATATACACCACACACAATGTACCCGTTTTACACACCACACACACAAAACGTACTGACACATGCCCAAACGCACCACACACACATTCCTGACCACAGAGTCTCAGACATGCACAAAACCACGCACACAACACCTATCCAAACCTGTTCACTTCCATGGAGTGCGGTTTGATTGGCTCGCGTAGCTAACCGCACACTTCATTTGGCTCTACCTCCAATGGGCTCGCGGGGCCAAACCTCCTTTGAGGCCTGATGTTTGCCGTCTCATGTACCTGGAAAACGCCTTGGCCCTCGCACACAAGCGCACAGAAGCAGGGGCATGTCCTCCATTGTCGCGTAACGAACGCTGGCAGATTCGCGCTCGAAGGGAGGGAGAGGCAATGACGCGCGGCTCATTTCAACGTTCGCAGTGGACGAGTTCTTGGTGGTGACCCAGAAGACGGAGGCGTCGGAGCGGAGTAAGCTGCAGGGGAAGTACATCCTGAAGGTGAACCAGGAGAGGCTCGAGCTCATGGACCAGAATACGCGCATTGTGCTGCAGTCCTGGGCACTTGACTCCCTGCGCCGATACGGCAAGGACCAGGTGTGCCCCGCTCCCACCTTCACGGACTGGTTCACCCGCAGTTATCCTGGGTAACTGCGGAGGGCGGGCGGGGGGTGCTGGAAAGATGGCCCGGAACAAAACAAAAACACACAATGCCAAGCGTGTACAAATGGGGCTGTAACAAAACATTAGTTACCTAACGTAGAACGGGGGGGTGAAGACGTAGAACTCCGTGAGCTGCTGCGTTCTAGAGTCTTGATATGGGCGAGAGCCACGAGGCTCGTTATTTTACTTTCTCTAGCATGGGGTGGTCAGAGCGCGGCCGGTTTACTTGCGCTGCCTGACTGTGCAATTCTGAATTTATAAATGTGCAAGAGGGCTTTGGAGTCACTTGTGGTTCTGCTGCCAGGGATGATCACCCCCGGCCGCTGCTGTAAACGCAATTTTCTACAGTCTAAAATGTTGTTGTTGTTGTTAAAAAGTTCAAGAAAAAAATCCACGTCTTCATCGAACCGCGCTTGAACTGCCAGGGAGCCGCAGTAATCTGGCGAGCTGCGGTTTGGCCACGCCTGGCATAGAATGTGTGTTGTCCCCTGGGTACTGATGGGTGAGGGGCAGCTGTTCTGCCAAAGTGCACTTAAAATGTGTGAATGAGCACAGTAAATCCACAACCTCGATGATCTGCCTGTAGATGATAAAGAGGTGAACACCATTGCAATGCCGTGCACACTGAGGCAACCGAGTTGCAGCTCCGCTGAGATCCACGGCTCGTCTGCGTCGGCCTTCTCTCACCTCGTTCTCCATACTCGGTTTATTCTTTCTTCTTCTTGGTTCTTTCGGTAAAGTCACGTAGAATGGAAATAAAATAATAATAGTGAGAATTTTATTTTTTTATTTTATCATGTTTTATTTTTATTATTTTATTTCCATTCTACGTGACTTTACCGAAAGAACCAAGAAGATGAATCCCTGCAGTCACGAAAGCTTTAAATCGAAGGTTTATTCCTTGTCGAGACGTGCAATGATTCTTTCCCGTCATTATTCCATTAATTGATGTCCCTCCCCAGAACCTCCGATTAGCATGGTTGGCTACGTACGGTGCGAAAGAAGTTCAAAATATGTACATACAAAGTAAAAAAAATAAATCCTGCTAAAACACAACGTTGTAATGTTTCGTTTGCAGAAAATGTTCACGTTCGAAGCTGGACGTAGGTGCCAGACTGGACCGGGCAATTTCATTTTCGAGACGACCCAGGGAAAGGAAATATTCAATCTTATCGTCAATTTCATCAGCAAACTGCCACCAGGAAATCATGGTGGCGGCACCAACGTGGACCCCAGCGCAACTCACTTCTCGCGAGGGAACGCTTCGCCAGTGCGTCACGTGGAGGCCGATGAATTCCTGCACGCTGTAGGACCTGCGGCCGACGGGATGAAGCTCATGTCACTTAAACCTGAGGGGGCGATTCTGCTGCCCTACGGCGGAAAGCCTAACGGGGGCAAGATGTCACCGTTGAAGTTTGCCCCCTCTCCGAATTCGGAGCCCGTTTTTCCGAATAAGAATTCAAAGCGGAATAGCGAGCCCGTCTATTCGGAGGTTTACGACGGTTGTCTGCTCGGCAAGAACCGTGGGCCAAACAGCCAGCCCCCCCGGGCAGAGCACATTTACGACGATCCTGAATACGCTGCTCGTAGCAGCACTGCGAAGACCATCTACAGCACCATTCATTGCAAAGATGACGTCCAGAAAGATGAGGCTGCGTCATGGCCGGCCGCGCCAGTACCCCCTGCAAAGCCACATTTTCCAAAGCCAAGTGATCGACCGATCAAAGTTCCGCTCTTGCCCAGTCGTCCGAGCCCCGCGTCCGTAAATGTTGATGATGATGTGTCAGCCCTCTACTGCAAGGTGAACAAGAAGGCTCCAGCGGTGGTGCGAGTGAGAAGCTGCGATGAGTTAAGCTACCCCTCTGCTGCCCATACAGAGGATTCCTTTGAAGAGAAAGCCATAGCGTTTTAAACTAATTGTGGAGTTGTCTTGATTCAATCTTTCGTATATCCAAACGTGTTGGCCTGCTCAAAACGCGTGCCACATGTCGCTTTGGCATTTGTCATTTACGTTGATGATGAATATCACCGCGAAGTTTGGTGTAAGATAATAATGTGCTCATTGATCGGATATTTTATCCAATTAATCAACCTCTATTCACTTTTTATTTTTAAATCCGCACTATAATCCATTGTGGTCGTTTTGCCCGCTAGTATATTTATGCATTTTTCATCAATGAAGTTTAATTTGTTGGGAAATTAGTTTGATCCCTCATTATAATTTAACTTTTTTTATGGTTTAATGTGGTGTAGATTTGTCTGAAATAAACATTCCATACGACCGTATATTGACGAAAGAAAACTCAACACGAGCGTCATTAACACTGTGGCCTTAAAAAGATAAATGTGTAATAGGCGATGTGTCGGGCACAATGGCTCTTCTTTATCGCATCCTATTTACGAATGTGAATTTTTGTTATTTGTGCACCGCTGCCAGCAGAGTGTTGCCAAATAATTATTTTGTAGAGGGTTGGAATAACATTAAAAGATTGAACTGGAGGTTCATTATCATTGTGAATACAATTTCCAAACCCAGCTTTGTTCTCTCCATCGTCAATAGAATGTGAACCACATGGAGACAGCTCCACAACTTCTCACCCAGTGAACCTTGGAGTACAGATACACAGATATTTCTTGACTCATCACGAACAACAATGACATATCTTTACGAAACCCAGTTATACGAATTTAATAAAAAAAATAATTTAACACTTAAACACTTCTCAACGATTCTCATCCTGTCTGGGCCAGCCCAGCTATGGGCCTCTGTATATAATAACACCCTCGCACACACATTATGAGCACCACACGAACCTACAAAGCTTCATATTTTGCCAGTTTACTTTCAAATTCCGTAGGCTGGCCTACATACACAGTGATGGGTTACACGCCCAACTCGCTTAGCCTTGCGCGCCTGTAGTTTTCCCTGTGTGCTGTGTGTGTGTGTGGGGGGGTCGTTTGTCCGTGCACAATAATGCTGTATGATTAATAGTGAAGAGAAAACGTTGACACTTTTGTTTATTTTAAAGAAATCCGTTTTTATTGTTATTTTGTTGATAATTATGACTGTTGGTTTTTGGTGTCGTGTGGCTCCAGTTGGGGGTTGCAGTGAGGACTGCACAGTCCACTTGAGGACTTCTCGTCTCAGGTGACGCGTGCAGGTGGATTCATTGGCTTGCCCCCACTCAACTTCAACCAAACAATCTCCCATTACTCACATGGTGTGGGGAGGCCTTCATCCAGCAGGGAATGAGAAAGGGCTGTAAACCCTGACTCGCTGTGAGTTGGGGTTCTTGTGCCATGTCGCTCTACTCCATTTTTGCTGTACTCCTGCCTAATAGCTACCGTCAGCGGTACAACGTCGCGTATCCGACCGTCCACACATCCCTCCTATTTAATTCACTGGCCACAAACAGTGCACATTGTTTGTGCGTGGTGCAACTCATTATCCAGAGTTGTTCACAAGCCCAAGCTTTTAACACGAGGGAGTGTTGGTGTTCATAATATAATATTTGGTTAAATTATCAAGCAAAGTTAAATCATTTTGCCACGTTTAAAAATAAGTTTGAGATTTTTTTGTGTCTGGCAACATTGGTGCATAGTGTAACTATCACTTTTACAGATCTTAACCGATCTGGTCACATATCAGCCTATACCTCAGTCTGCAGTGGGCCGATATGCGACGTTGTACAGTATGTGTATATATTATTATACCACGTGTATATACATATTTATGCACACTGTATGACTTTACACATATATTGTCACCTAGCATTTTTAAATATCACCTCTTAACGTGTTTTATATTTAAATTAGTGTACTTTTGGTGTATTACTGAGTCTTAATATAATATTGGTCATGTTTAAGTATTGTTTTGCTTGTAAATCAAAAACAAATCTAAAAATGATTGTACATTTGGGTTGATTTTTTATCATTTCGCAATGATGACTTTGCAGGCAATTAATAATATTTTAGTTTTTATATACGTACATGCAGTCTGACTTACCAACGAGTTTCCATATGAGTATAAGTTTTCCCCTTTTATCTGGCAACAAAACAGCTGTGTTAAGATATTAAAACACCAAACTGAAACCTTTTACAAGGAATCACGTCTGCATTAACCACAATACTTGTGGTCAGAATGCAAACAAAAACATACTCTGATAATATATTGGCATTGTCTTTGACACTGATAGGTCCACACCAGAGACAGCTTTCTTTTGAGCCTCGTCTCAAACGGTGTTAGACCAGAGGACGCCAAAAGGCGTACAAAAAAGTGGAAAACCTATTCTCATATTTTGGTACTGGCAAAAGAGGTCCCATGATGAGTTTCCATATGATCATTATTTTGTAACCATCCGACTTGCGAACGCGGGCTCACACTTACGAATCGAATCGCGGCACTATTTGGTTCGGTGCAGTGATCCTCGGAACGCGCAACGGCAGTGGTCTACTGGCGACGTTTTACGTTTAAATACAGTGCGTTGTTGTGTTTAAATACAGTGCGTTGTTGTGTTTAAACACAGTGCGTTGTTGTGTTTAAATACAGTGCGTTGTTGTGTTTAAACACAGTGCGTTGTGTTTAAATACAGTGCGTTGTTGTTTAAATACAGTGCGTTGTGTTTAAATACAGTGCGTTGTTGTGTTTAAATACAGTGCGTTGTTGTGTTCCGACTTACAAACCGTTCGACTTACAAACGGGCCTCGGAAACGGAACGTGTTCATAAGTTGAAGACTGCCTGTATAGTTAAACTGCATGCTTCACATAATGCAATTTACATGTAATGGTTTGAAATAATATGCATAGAAAACACGCAAGAGAACTCCTCTTATCCGCGATTATGTGATGGACCAATATCACCGATCCTATTATCTGCCCAGTTATCCGCAAGTTTACTCCCAAAATTCGCGGATTATGGAAACAATAGGGCCGTGGATTATAGGGGTTATCGCAAACCCAAATGGATAATAGTCACGAGTAATACGGTCGCGGATAAGAGGCGTTACGAATTTGCAGATACGTACCCTAGGCGGCTATCTGATACGATGTTGAAACTTTGTTAATGAGCAAACGAGATTGTCAAGTCGGTCACTCCGCCCGAGTCACGGTGAGCCAGTGACGTCACAGTGATCCAGTGACGTCACAGTGGTTCGATCTCCCATCACTGACGCGGATCCCATTATCCGCGATGTTATTTGCACATAAAATTATTCGCGGGAAAAAAAATGCAGATCATCATCGATAATAGGATTAATTTATCGAGCGGCAATATAAAAAAATAGCGGGTAACAGGAAACTGTTAAGCAATGCTGGGCTGGATAAACCCACAGGTATCAAGCGAAGGGGTGTGGATTCAATGGGTATTTGGTAGCCCGAATGCCCCCCAGGGACGATGATTCGTGGGTCAATAGGTAAATATGGTCGCGGATAAGAGGAGTCTTGCGGTGTTATTTTTCATCAACAGAGCCTCAGGCTCGTTGACGGGACGCGCGTTGGGACGCACGCGGCCTCGGTGCGAGGCTGCACAATCCGCGCCGCGCGCTTCTTACATTGCGTCTCGCTGTAAGCGGAACGCCTTTGATCTCTTAAGTCCTCAATTCATGAATACAACTCCCAACCCAAAGCACGTGGGCGCTCTTCTATCCCGTGTCTGGACACTTAATGCGAGCTGCCTTAGGCTGCATGTGTACAGCTGGGTGTATTGGTGGCATCCTCTGTGTTGTGGAAGCGCTGACTCTTAGCATTTAGTCCCTGGGTAATGTGTTCGCTAACCATATACTATAAACTATAATAAAACATTTTGTAAAACAATCCAATGTTTTGAAACGTTATTGTACATGTTGCCCTACTTGTTGTACGCACGAGGTCTCGTCGGTGTGAATGAGGACGCATTTATTCAAGGGATTGTCTTTGAGCTCCCTTCTGCCAGCAGTGGCTAGACCAAGTATTGTTATTGCAGGGTCGCATCTTGACAATGACCAACTCGTGTGTGGTAATCAGAGACGCTATTGTGATCCACAGTCTTGTCCCCTTAATGGGAAACATTGGTGGCGCTGTGGTATTCCTCGATAATGAGTTTGGGAGTCTCCTGAAAGTTCAAACATTTTCTGGCTGGACCAGGGTTTGGCTTGCCAGGAAAATTCTCTCACACGTCGAGTCCTCCCACGTGGCTACCACGTGGCTGTGTAAGCAGCACGTGCTGATTACACACCCACGTGGCTACCACGTGGGTGTTTAAGCAGCACGTGCCCTCAATTAGCGTGCCTTTCCTCAATCTTGACGCATAGTGAACCTGCAGACAGCAACACTGCTTGTAGCAATTACCCCAAAACTAATCCACACTCCCCTCACACGGTTAAGCGATGAACACTCTACCACTGCCAATCATATATGCCCCTTTGCAAGCCACGAATAGATTAAAGCCGCGTGTCTGCCGAGTGCTCTCTCAACCGGGCACTTGCCTCGAAGTGGCGTGGAAGGGCGAGTGCGTTGTAGACCCCAGTAGCCATGCTGGTGCACATGCAACGCTGGGCTGTGGATGAGGACACGTGAACTGGACTTGAGATGCACTCAACGTAACGGATTCACGTTACACAGTGGAGAGTCACGTGAATTGGTACGACTGGATTCTCTGTTGATGGCTGGAGCCACCATTGGCAGCGTGGTATAGAGACGGAATTGTCAATCTGTCCGAAGTGTTTTCGGGTTGTGACCGTGCGTCGATCAGTGTGATGTCTGATGCACGTGTCGTTGGCCGTACTGGGAGCTTCTATTGAGTTCATGAACAATGCACAAGCTGAAAACATCCGCATTTATAAAACGTTGTTGTGCAGTTCCTGAATTGGCTCCCGGCACGTGGAGCGAAACTTGGTGTTTACACGAGCACACGGAAGGGCACCAACAGAACACCACCACTCCTCGTCCTGCACAAACACTCCTCGTGCTGCACAAACACTCCTCGTGCTGCACAAACACTCCACGTCCTGCACAAACACTCCACGTCATGCACAAACACTCCTCGTGCTGCACCATCACTCCTCGTGCTGCACAAACACTCCTCGTGCTGCACAAACACTCCTCGTGCTGCACAAACACTCCACGTGCTGCACAAACACTCCTCGTGCTGCACAACACTCCTCGTGCTGCACAACACTCCACGTCCTGCACAAACACTCCACGTGCTGCACAAACACTCCTCGTGCTGCACCATCACTCCACGTGCTGCACCAACAGAACGCCGTCACTGCACGCCCCAACAATCAGCGTTGTTCACCTCCGCAATGCGGCGTTTGCCTTGTGCCGTGGGGTTGTTCGGCAGGAACTGGAGAAGCTGAATAAGCTCCCAGCACACGGAGCGAAACGTCAGACATCATGCCAAACCTCACGCGGTACAACACGAAAACACATCGGAGACGTACAGCACAACCGTGGAAACCCACACAGAGTAGTCAAAACACACCAAACATTCAATAACATTTCCGTAAAAAGACAACTCGTGATATTTTGTGGCCATTCTTCATATCACATAGCCCATAGAGGTGATTTTATTAAGTCAATAACACTGCCTTTTAAGGATGTGTTATTGACGAATGTGTTGCGTTTTTGTGTCATTTTTGCTGATGTACGACTGCCAACTCCGTATCACCAAAGAAGCGGAATTTCTCGGCCTTCAAGTCGCAAAAACAACACCAGGTGGCGCTGTGGCATAAGCTTGAAGACATGCGGACCTGACATTCCACACAAGATCCCACAGCTCTCCTCGACTGCTCAGCGGAGGAGCACGCAATGATGCAACGATGCATCGATTATAATCGATTTTTACGGCTCAAGTTACGTGTATTGAATCGTGCGCGTGAGATTGTATTATTGACGATTCACGCGCACGTAGAAACCTTCAGAATAATCCAGAGAAGAAAGCTATGTGAGGAGGAGATGGAAACATGAGAGAACGAGCCGACTAAAAGGAGACCAACAACCAAAGCTTGAGTGGAACACAGCACCCACTTGGAGTTAAGTTGCGACAATTCTCATAATTGTTGGTGGGTGGGGAGGGGAGGTGAAATTGTTAACGGTCTCAAGAGCAGGCCACAGAGCAATCTCTGTGGCCTGCATTCATTTTTTTCATTCTATTCCTGTAATGTCGAAGGGTAAATTCGTGTTGGCTTCTAAAGCAGTGCCTCACAAGCGGTGTGCTGCGGCAAGGTCCCAATGTGTGCCTCGCTTATTTTCAGAGCGATAGGAACGGGAACGGAACCTCACTGTTGGTCAAGAGGACAGACCAACTCCCCTCCTCCGTGCCGTTCAGTTGCCGATCCATTGGTCGCGCATGCGCAGTACGGCGGCGGCCGTCAGCCCCCAGCCCCCCACCCCACCCACACCGTGCCCCCCACGGGGAGTCTTTGGTTCGACGAAGGATGATCGAGCGCGCTCCAAAGTGTGCCGTGAAATGGTAACAAGTTTGAGATGCAGCGTCCCGTGCGTGTGCGCACGAGCAGGACCATCAGATGTTGCACAAATAAACCCCGCCTGATTAAAACGGCCTCCTCTTCTCTTGCCTCTGTAGTCTTTGCCTGGTTACTTGTCACTTATTGTTCTTGTTTACATACACGAATGGCGCTTTGAGGTCTATTAAGGTTACCCGATAAATCCAAATTATCGTTCATAATAAAGGTTATCGTTATTTAAGAAATGTTCACATGGACGCATTCGTTAATTTTGTCAAACAATACGAGACATCGGCCGACATTGCGTAGGGGAGACCTTTATCAGGCAGTGGATTGACACACGTTTGAAAGTGCAGTCATTTAATAATTTTGGTTCTAAGCAACTTTTACGTATTATTATTGCACAATGGCTGAGGCCACCTCCATCCCGGTTGTTGTTGTTGTTGTTGTCCCCGTAACTTC